ATTAATAGCAATCGAATATAGCAATAGCAGTTAGACTTTCAGTCCTCTCTAAGCGGTTTACAGAGTCAGCATATCGCCCCCACAGTCTGGGTCCTCATTTCACCTACCTCGGAAGGATGGAAGGCTGAGTCAACCTTGAGCCGGTGAGATTTGAACCGCTGAACTGCAGATAACAGTCAGCGCTGAAGTGGCCTGCAGTACTGCACCCTAACCACTGCGCCACCTCGGCTCTGCGAAGTGGTATATAAGTCTAAGGGCTATTGCTATTGCATCCAATCCACAAAAGAATGGGATAATCAACAGCTCCTAACATTTACCTGTCCACATTGGATCTCAGCGAACACAAGTTGGAACTCAGCAGGTCGGGAACCATATCAATTCTCTGCAAGAAACAGAAATGGCATTGTTGGTCTATGAACACTTCCAGAGTGAGCTGACAGAGCTGGACAAGGCAAGCACCAAAGGTTCGCCAGGCTTCAAATGTACCATATTTTTCGGAGAATAAGATGCACATTAGTTTTTGGGGAGGAAAATAATAATAAGAAAAAATTCTGCCTCTGCCTACCAGCATCCATCGGTATTCATCTGGCCAGTGTCCTTAGCCAACAACCTGGTCAGCTTCAGCACATTAGCCTGATTTAGCAGGAGCAGCTGACTGGCGGATGGATTGGTTTCTTGGAATACCCACAATCAGCCGTCCTCAGAGGTGAACTTTAGCAAGAGGTTTGCTGGTTGTGAGCATGCTCACGTTTACTTCGCTCACACGTGTCTCGCTGGGGCTCAAACGCAGCATCAAAAATGCAGCTGAACTGTGCAGGGCACTCTGGTGAGTACAGCGGGCGCAGCACGCAACCAGTCTGACAAGGCAGCAACAGCCCCGGGCTGCCTTTTTGGCCTCCGCGCTTCATGTTTTAAACCTCCAAATGCTCCGTTTCAGACGCATTCAAGGCTGCGTGGACCCCCAAAGGACATTGCTGCCAATCGCCACCCGAAAACATGACGCACAGAGGCCAAAAACGGGGTGTGCAGAAGCCAGAAATGCAATGTGCTAAGGTAGCGATGTGCTCTGGCCATCCCCGCAGCAGTGAACGGGTCTGAAACTGAGCATTCGGAGGCCAAAAATGCGAGGCGCAGAGGCCAAAAATGCAAGGCACCGGGGTGTGTGTGTGTGTGTGTCTGTGGCAATCCCTGCAGCCTGGAACATGTCTAAAACGTGAAGGGTAGGCAGGGCTACCTTTGGTGTATAAGACGCACCCAACTTTTGCGTCTGATACTCTGAAAAATACAGTAGATCCCACCTGTTCAAACAACTGAACCACAAAAGGATAATAGAAGCTTTGTGTCCCAGCTTACTCAAAGAGGTGGGGCAGGAGAGCCAGCTGTCAGCAAGAGAAGGAAAGAACTCTCCAAAATGTACCTTTTCACATAAATACACAGTGGTGCCTCTTTTGGCCGATTCTTGGTCTAGAGCATTTCCTGGTCGGATGAAGTGGCTGACGTCTGCAATGTGCACCCCAACCTAGAGAAACAGAGAGATTCTTTAATGTTTAGGAAAGTTGGCACCTTCTCCCGAATTTCTGACTGTCTCAAGAGCATCGTGTGAAGTTTATCTTCCTCTGTTTTTTCCCAACAGGCCTGGTGGCGCAGTGGTTAGAATTGCAGAATTGCAGGTTGACTCTGCCCACTGCCAGGAGTTCGATCCTGACTAGCTCAAGGGTGACTCAGCTTTCCATTTCTTCCAAGGTCATTAAAATTAGGATTCAGTGGGTTGGGGGAAATATGCTGATATTTGACAACCTCCCAGATATTTACGAAGAATGCTGTAAAGCAAGTGTCCCCGATCCCAAGGCCACGGACTGGCCCTGGACTGCAAACTGGGAGGAACTGGGCTGTACAAGCAAGCAAAACCCCATCCACGCACACCCTGGGATGCAGGCACAGCATGAAACCATGCTCCCTTGGTCCACGGAAAAACCACTCTCCATAGAACTGGGCCACAAAGCCCAAAGGTTTAGGGGCCACTACCATAAAGCACTATGCAGCGGTATATACCGTATTTTTCAGACTATAAGACGCACCTAGATTTACAGAAGGGAAACAAGAAAAAAAAATTGGCCTCTGCACATCGCGTTTTTGCCCTCCCTGGTCCCCAGAAGCATTCTGAAGTGCCTCCCATTTTGGTTTCTGGGAGCCGGGGAGGATGAAAGCGTAACGCATGGAGGGTTCGGGAAGCCAAAAATAGGCCCGTATTCGGTCTATAAGGCGCACCAAAAGTTTCACCCACTTTTTTGGAGGGAGGGGGGAAGTGCATCTTATAGTCTGAAAAATACGGTAAGTCTAAACGCTACAGCTATTCCTTCCGGGCCTATCCCACTTCTAGCCATGATGTTTTTGCTCCTCCACTGCAGGCAGAAATCAGGATGCTCAAGAAGAGTTCCATAAAAGGATGAAAACGCAGACCGGCCTTTCAAAAAACCCTTGCCTCCAGATTTCCGTTTTCCAGCTCCCTGCAGTGCAATGCATCGTCGATATCGGTACACCCAGGAGGATCCACGCTGCACACACACAGTTGCCTCAAATCCTCTCTCTGCTTCATATCCTGAAATTTCGTTTTCAACGACAACAGAAAAAGAAACTCATGTCATTGGCGAAAGTCCTGTGAAAAACTGCCAAGGCTCGCTAACACAGATTAGGTTCAGTTGAAAGCCTCTTCTGTCTCCCTTAAACCAACAGACTAATTTTGGGGCACCTTAAAAGTCTGGCAGAGACATTCTCATATACAGACAGTCCTCGACCTACGACCACAAATGAGCCCGGAATTTCTGTGGCTAAGCGGAACATTTGTTCAGTGAATTTTGATTCAATTTACGACATTTCTTGCCATCGTTGCTAAATGAATCGCTGGCATTGTTAAGTTAATTACGTAGTTGTTAAATGAATGTCGCTTCCCCATCGACTTTTGCTTGTCAGATGGTCACAAAAGGGGATCACATGACTCCGGGACATTGTGACTGTCATAAATCCAAACCAGTTGCCCAATTCAGCGTCTGAATTTTGATCACGTGGCCATAGGGATGCTGCAACAGTTCAGAACTCACTTTTTTCAGTCCCGCTGTAACTTTGAATGGTCACTAAATGAACTGTGGTAAATTGAGGACTACCTGTATAGATTAGATTCTGTTGAACGCCAGTTCTAGCTCTCTAAAACCAACAGAATAATTTTATGGCACCTTAAAGTCTACAAAAGAGATCTATATCTATCTATACCTATCTATCTATCTACCTACCTACCTACCTCTATCCATCCATCCATCCATCTACATCTATCCATCTANTACCAAACAGATTAACAGCCAAGCCAGCAAATTGGCTAAAATAGATGCTTCGCTTCAGCATATTTCATGTGCAGACTTCCTTCTAACCCGTGTCTAACCGCACTATGTCCTAAAAGCAAACCTTGCAATTCCTATATGAACAGTTAAAGCTTAATATCATGAAACCCTAGTTTGGTTCAGGCTTGAGGCCTACTTTGGTTCAGCCTGCCACCTTAGAGCCATCACCAAACTACTTGCCGTTCTGCCGACTGATAACAGATTGGTAGTGATACTGTGAACCAGTGCGCACAAGGGTTGCAAGCCTTGGGATTTGGATTCTAACATTCCAACTTTTTCCAAACATTCTGGGGGCCGAGAAGAGCTGCTCACCTGGGTATGGAAAGCAATGGAAGCCCTCTGAGCGTACTGAGCCATTTTGTGCCGAAAATTGAGATTTTTGCACAAATCTGCCAATTTATGTTTGTCGGTGAGGTCAGGGTAAGTACTGTCCACTCCAATAGCCACAGCCAGGAGTCGGTGTACTATAATATCTGCGTACCTGCAATGAGATAAATAAAAAATTTTCACTGGTCATAACTCACAAATAAATATATTTGGGGATTTGCGATCGTTTGGGACTTTGTAGCCAAAATAAAATACTTTCTCTTGGGAACCAAGGACATTCTCACACCTGCTCAGGAGGAGGAGCGATGTCACCAGGCAACCAGACAGCCGTGATTGAACCATGTGCCTGATTGTTTGGGGAACGGGAAAAACTTTTACTTTTAATTGGGTGAAAACCGTGGGAATCTTCAGAGTCGTTTTTCACCAGATCTGTGCCAAAGTGATACATTCAATATAGCTATTCTTTGAGGAATGCACCTGTTTTGCTTGCTATGAGTGTATTACTTCGAACCCTGACACAGCCTCTGTGGCAGAGGCTCTTAAGCCTCCATGAATAGAAGCTAAGACAATCGCTAAACTGGAGATCCAGGGTAATTACATATAGCGGGTGACGGGGCTTGGATTTCTTTGGGGTTCATACTGGAATAACTTTTAAAAGGGGGGGGGAGTAGGACAACTTCCCTTTCCTGTTTTTGTGTAACCTCAAAATAGCAACTAAATATTCACTGGCAACTGAAGCCACATCGGGATAGCAATAGCACTTAGACTTATATACCGCTTCACAGTGCTTTTACAGCCCTCTCAAAGCAGTCTAGAGTCCGCATATTTACCCCCAACAATCTGGCTCCTTATTTTACCCAACCTCTGAAGGATGGAAGGCCGAGTCAGCCTTGAGCCTGGTGAGAATTGAACTGCCGAACGGCTAGCAGCAGGCAATCAGAAAAAGTAGCCTGCAGTATCCCCTTCTAGCCTCAGCGCTAGCACAGATGTTGTTTCGTGGCCTTTGGTAAGGTAACGGAGAGAGACAGGTGGCTAAGAAGCATGGAATATAACTAAATAAAATTACTATCGAATCAGGCACCAGAAATCCATATAACAGCATCACTTAGGATTTGCTCTGTAGAAAGTCCACAAGCAGCCTTACCTTCTGATTGGAGAGGTGAAGTGCGTATATATGGGTGACGCTAAGCCATAATGGTGGAAGTCAGTGTCCATTCCAGAGCAAAAGTACACGGCTTGCATCATGCAGCGGGTGGCTAAGATGCGCAACAAGGTGTTCAGGTAGGGGAAAGAAGGAGACTCGGCTTTGTCAAGGGAGTCTGCCAGGGATTTTGCAGAATCGGTCTTGATTTCCAAACCCTACAGCGGAAAAAACACAAAATGGGCTTGAGTTTAGTTTTGATTAACCCATAGGCCATATCAAGGTGGAGTGGTGTGGTGGCCTAGAGGTGGAGCTCTCGCCTCACAATCAGGAGGCTGTGCGTTCAATCCTAGGCAGCAGAAGGTACCGTATTTTTCCGAGTATAAGACGCTCCAAAGTATAAGACACACCTAGCTTTTGGGGAGGAAAACGAGAGGAAAAATCTGCCTCGGCCTCCCAGCAATTTGCCTCCTTGCAACAAACAGAAAACAGTAGACAATATACACTTTGTAGTGTTACATTTCAGACTATACTTGTACAGATGCTGTTAAAATTGATGTGCTTTCTGGAAGGATAGTTATTCTCTGCAATTTAAAAGTAGAAACAATAGCACTGGGCCTCTTCAGATCAAGCATTTATTTTAAAAAGCTGCTTCATTTTGTTAAACTGTCTAGAACAATAATAAAGCAGTCTTTAAAAAATAAGTCTAATAATTTGAGCATTCTCTAGGCCAGTGGTTCCCAAATTTGGCAACTTTAAGACTTGTGGACTTCAACTACCAGAATTCTCCAGCCAGCAGAGGTCTGTTGTGCCTGATTAGCACAAGAAAAAAANGCATACAAGTTTAATAAACTATAATAAACTATGGCTGATATGGCCAATCTTTTGGCTCTTCTTTCCTCCCAAAGCAGGGGAAATCAAAAACTGGACACTGGGCTGAAAACGCTTGCCAACCCAGCAGCCTCTTCCTGGAAGTGCCTTTGCCCAAATGAGCTGGCACAGATCTGCTTCTAACTGGGATTGATTGATTGAGAGAGAGAAACCATCCCCCAAAGCTGAATGACTACTCTGACAGATACTTCCGACACTGGACTGGTACAACTGCCTTCCAGCGGCTGGAGGGGAATTGAACCCCCAAGATGATCAGCCTGGCTATACCCACCAAATTGGCACTGGAATGTTGTGGGCTACATTTATACACTTGGGATTCTCACAAGGACTCGGCTGCGGTTGGAACGCTGCTGCTATATGCCTCCGACATGCATTGATTCTGGGTCTACCCAAGTACAGCCAGTTGTTTCTTAATGTGCCAATTATGGGCTCACTTTACCAGGCAGAGACTTCCTTGCATGAGCCTTGCCAACATACAAATGCAGATGCCCTGGTCTTAAACTTAAAGTGGAAGTTAACTGTTTTGGAATTAGGCGTCACCAACGTGCCAAATGGGGTGGCAGAGCAATATGTATTGCCTTGTTTTCTGTGAAAATTAATAGCGTTTGTTGAAAAGAAATCTCTTTCGCGTCTTGATGATGCTAATCGTATTGGGAACCAATGATTTTTTTAAAGTAGTTAAATAAAGTAGTAGATAGTTGTGCTTTTCCCCCGTTTTTTGAAGTTTTATTACCAATGTGAAATCGGTTTCAACAGGAGGCTAGAAAACATTCTTGTTAGAATAAATAAACCTTTTGCACACACACACACACAAAAGGCAACATTCTGACGAATCGTTTTTTTAAATATACGGGACTGGAATTATGTTTCATCATTTTAAAAAAAACATGTTTAAGATAACTGGTTTCCCTGCGCAATTTGTTATACTTGGAAAAGTTAGTAGCTGAAGAGTGTTTTTGTTCTTTTTTGTTGTTTTTTTAACAAGTACCTGTAGGGAAACACCCTCTCCTATTAAAACGGTCATCTCAGATTGGGTAGTGCCAAGACAAAATCCAGAGAATGGCTGGATTTATTATTAGTATTATTTTTAGCCTTTACAGGAACTACTGAACACATGCACAGAATCCTAAATCTTTAATCTCTATTTTGAAAATTGCTAGGACATTATATTTCTCGGAGGTGCCTTTTTTTCCCAAGAGGCAACTGGACTTTCTAGTTTTTCTCTGAAGACATTTCGCTTCTCAATCAAGAAGCTTCTTCACATGAAATAAGAAGCGAAATGTCTTTCAAAGAAAAACCAGAAAGGCTAAAGGACTCTTGGAAAAAGCATCTCGAAGAACCCTGGCCTGGATGACTGAGCATCTCCATAGAAAAGTTATTTCTTGCTCTATTTCAGCCGTGCTATGGAAAAGCTCTGAGGCTACATGGCGAAGACTCTCTTGTAAGGCACTTTCCCATTTAACTTCACTTTTAACTTTTCTTCCTTGGCTGTTTAATCCATCCCTCCTAATTAGCTGGGAACTGGATTTTCTTTACAGCGCTCATTAAGTAAGTTAATTAAGTAACTGGGGATTGGTAATTTTTATCTGTAACGAGAGGTGCAGATTAGAAACCTCGAAGCGCAAATTGTGAATCGGAAGCTTACAACTTTTAACTCTTAATCCTTTGGGGATTATGCTTCTTTCTAATTCATCTCCTGCTCTGCTTGTTTTCTTTTAGAAAGTAGAAGCAGGTGCTCTTCTTAAAATAGCTTTATCTGGCAGTAGCTTCATTTCACAAATCACAATCAACATCAAATATCTATACCAAGAAAAAAACACCTCATTGGAGCCTGGAAAACGTAGACATGAATATGGCTTTTCCTGGCTGCTCTCTGCTTTTGATCTCTGATTGTTATCAATCTATCATTTTCCTTGCACCACATTTTAAAAAAAACAAAGATAGACCAAGAGACTGAAAAAATGGTTTAAAAGATTTCAGAAACTAGCTTTGTTTTGCTGACAAATTAAAAGGTGCATCCAAATGAGAAAGCTGGAATGCAGTTCTAAATTGACAAAACCTGTATTTACTTTTAATGAACAATATTTTAAAATATTGTGTTCTTTCCTGCTTTTGGAGAAAGACCCAGAAGTTCAGTGTGGGAAATTATCCCATAATTGGCTGGGTGAAATTAGCTGGGATCAATAGGATAGGATAGAAATATCTATCTGGATCAAAAGATCCCAGTGAGCATTTGCCAAAGACCCATATGGAAAGAACAGTCCTGGGAAAGCTTTTAGATAAGGAAGCCGAATTCATT